CCCTCATCAAATGAAGTTAAGGTCATTATTTAAATGTGCACAGTCTCATCTCGGTTTTGTTTCTGGAACGTATCTCATAAACTGTTTAAGATATCTATATGGAACTTTCGCTGAATAGAAATTTCTCAAATTGAATCATTTTGTGTTTCCATGGAAACTAATTTAATTGATTTGTTGGTAATCAAGGCCTTGATTACTGATTTTTTTTTTGTTGGTTCAGTAATATGAATACTATGTTTTAATGCAGGACCCAGGCATTGGATTTCACAAAATTTCTTCTGGCCACTGCACATATGCAACATTGTTTTTAAGTGAGTCGAAGCAGACCTTAACCTGCGATCTGTCAATTCTCCAGACCTTCTGTCATGTTGGCCAGTTATGTTTTTGTCATAATTTTTTTTCTTGCCATCTTTTGACAAGTTGAGAGAAGAGAATTATTAAATCATTCAGGTTTTTCTTCGTTTTTCTTGTTTCGGCTTATCGCCTTACTTGACACAGACTCATTATTTCTACTCCTTCATTTTCCCTCCGTGAAAAGTTTGACACTTCGCGGAGACAGTGGAATTATACAGAAGAATTGTGGGGAGATAGTTGTCAAAGGTTAGTCATCACTGAGTAAAATGATTGAGTGAATCTCAATGACTTGCCCGTGGCTATTGAAATTATAAAGAGACTCTTTATAGTTCCAGATTTTACAGTTTTTGAAAATATCCATTTCTAGTAAAAGTGCACATTGGTGGTGCAGCAGTGAAGGTGAAAGCGTACGGCGTGATGGGTAGCAAATTTTTCCTTCTGAGCTCTTGTTTATAACACCCCTTGCTCACTTCCTCATCTGGCTCCACCTATGTCCAGTTGCCAGGTTCAGACCAATCTGTTTAAAAACCGATCTATATTTCGTTTCGTTTTTATACGCCCACATTTTCATGTGGACGTATTATGCCGTCGCCCCTGTCCGTCCGTCTGTCTGTCTGTCTGTCCACAATTTGTTTGTGGACACTCTACAGGTCACAATTCTTATCCCATTTTAACGAAACTTGAAATATAGGTGTATCTCCAAAAGATCTTGGCTGCTTTCGATATTGGCATGTATCGGATCGAAACTTCATGGATTATGGCCCCTGATTGTACGAAAAATCGTGTTTTTAGCTTGTGGACCCTATAGAGGTCATAATTTTTATCCGATTTAAAAAACCGTCTAATTATATCACCGTTACACCATAAGGACGACCGAGTTCGAATTTCGGCCCAAAATTGACGGACAAAATGGCCGCCGTTCGTTCTCAAATAGCGTAAAAATATGGTATATCAAGGTCGTGGACCCTATAAAGGTCACAATTTTTATCTGATTTTGTTGAAACTTGAAATGTAAGTTTATAACCCAAAGATCTCGGTTTCTTTCGATATTCACACATATTGGACCGTAACTTCCTGAATTATGGCCCCTGATTGTACGAAAAATCACGTTTTTAGCTTGTGGACCCTATAGAGGTCATAATTTTTATCCAATTTAAAAAACTGTATTATTATATCACTGTTACACCCTAAGGACGACTGAATTCGAATTTCGTGAAAATCAACCCAAAATTGACAGACAAAATGGCCGCCGTTTGTTCTCAAATAGCGTAAAAATATGGTATATTGACCCTATAGAGGTCACAATTTTGATCCGATTTTGTTGAAACTTGAAATGTAAGTTTATAACACAAAGATCTCAGTTCCTTTCGATATTCGCGCATATTGAATTGTAATTTCCTGAATTATGGCACTTGATAGTAGGAAAAATCACTTTCTTGTTAGCTTGTTCTCTATCCATCTCTCGAAAATGTGGGCATATCCTGCCTGGCAGCCGCTGGTTTATACTTTCGATGGCCTAGACTACATGAAGATCAGACCAGTTGTACTTGAAGGTCACGTCAGGGGTGATACGAACAGCTTTTGACCCTATGTCGTCAGACATTGATTAATCAATCAGTGTTGACATTTCTAGTGGTTTACCCACAGTTCCGTGCATCACACCGTGCATCACTGGCTAATCCATCACTTCAACCAGAATGCCGGTAATATCACTTCAACTAGAATGACAGTAATATAACAACTCTTCCAGTTTCTAATGTAGTAAAGATAAGTAAAAAGAAAAACGAAATTTTGAACTATAAAAAAACAAAACGAAATAGGATCTGTTTTAATTAGATGGGGTTAAGACAAGCATGGGATACAGGGAGAAGCGGTCAGTATTACCTAGAAAAAGTTTTAGATTACTGGACATATTTAACATGATGAGATGAATCCAGAAGATTCAATACCAAGATGAAACTGAACAGTGAAATTAATTGCAGGGGAAAAAGGTCAATGTTCATTTGGTGCATGCGCAGTAATCCGTGCTCAGACCAGTTAGAGTTTATACTACGAAAATTTAAAGAACCGGTCCTGGTACCGTTCCGAGACCACCTCACTTCAGTGGGCCAGATTGGCACCATACCAGGCGCGGCATGCTTACGTTTGACCCGTTTACACTACAAAAAAGTGAAGCGTGCCGTACCTGGTACCGTGCCTGGTACACTTAAAATTTGTATAATGTAAACGGGATTAATGAAGACCGGTATACACCATGAGATAAAAGCTGCTTGGACCGTAAAACTACCGTCTACTTTTATTTTGATTCTCAGCTGTCAGGAGATCTTTACCTTTGTTTTAATAGTACACACTATGAGATAAAAGTTGCTTGGACCCTTTTTTTTAATAATAGTACACACTGGATTTCGTTTTTTGATCCCATATTTCTTGTCATTACAAATTATTGAAAATTATTGAAAATCATTAATTTACTTGATTTTTACCCTGTATATGATAAGTGTTGAGTTGTCTTATTTTGTTTTTTATTTTTTACTCAAGTTTTATTCCAAGGTACATTTTTTCAAGTTTCTTGGTATTTCTTAACTGCCTTCTGGACCCAGCATTATAAGTTATCTGGGTGACAGAAGACAATAAAATTATTTTCAGTTTCTGCTTTCAATTGATTGATGATTCTCCAGGGCTCGAACCTTTTCTGATCTTTTCAAAGTTTGGTGTATAAATTTTACTCTCTGTTTTCGCATAATCCCCTTCGGTGTTGTGTCAGTTTTTAGTGCCTTTAAGTCCAGATTGTCTTAATTACACCTCTGTGAATTGTCGTTCTACTTAAAAAGATATTTTTTATTTGAATGGATATTCTGTGTACATTTATGTGTCATCGGAGGCTTGAATAAAAGCCATGTAATATCTATATCACATGCAATATAAAAGAATTATTGCTGTACCAGTCTAAACAAGAAGGATGAGCTATAAATTCTTCGGGGATGGGGGGTGGATGGGTTAAAGCCCAAAATAAACTTTGCAGATATCAATAATTTCGCTTTGTCCAAATTTGGTGTCAAATGTTGGCTTGTGTGGTTGTCAAGCATAAAATGATCTAGCTGGTTGTACTCAACTCACTCCAGGATTCGAACCCCAAACATTCTAGTGAATTTACTCAACTTTCAATCTCTGTTTATGAGAAATATCTTTGATCCAGAAACACAAAACTTTGCCTATAGTTTCTTATGAATGTATTTGATACATTAAAACAACAAAAGTTTTATAAAGGGCTATATTTTGGTTAAAATAAGCCGAACAATTTTGAGTAAATTCTTAACTTAAGCCCGAGACTGCTTTGTGAACTCGAGGCCTGTGGCCTACTGACCTGGTTTAAAGACAAAAATGGGCGTTTTGGTAGTCTAATGTAACGTGTGCATATATATACTTCATGTGTACATATGGTGGTCTGGGGTTTGATCCCGGTATTGGTCAAGATAGTTCCTCTTGTCAGTGGTGCAAGAAAAAGCCCCTATTCTTTCAAATGGGATGATAAACAAAACCGAGGTATGCTTGTGTAAAAAAACCCAAAAAACCTTGACAAAACTGCATGGATATACCTGATTTTATTGGCTCTTTTAGTGCAGGAAAGTAGGTTGTTAAACCCCATTTCATTTATAAAGGAAACATTTGAGAAACCTTGAGATGTTAATGAAACACATCACATGAATGGTACAAGCTATGATAATACTGATAAAAAATTGCATTCTTTTTGAGTTGGAATGTTTTCTGTAATCAATTTTAGTTTGCCTCCAGAAAGGCCTTGAGACTAGGTCATCTTTGTTGTATTCCCTTAACATGTTTCACTTTGGGGTCCTGCTCAAAGGCTTTGATAATGCCACAATGTCTACAGAGAACCAGTGCCATAGGACAGCATTAACCCTTTGAAGTAGAAAATAGAAAAGATAGCCAGAAATGATTCCTGATTTCTTGCTTTTAAATGATTGATCATATTATCAAAAGATGTGAAACTAACCCAAGAGAAATATAGATAATAGAAATTTAGATGCACCAGATATAAGGTGTTATGACAGAAGAAGCCCTGGTGGCTTACAGAGTAAGGTGTGGCTCATTCACCAGGAGATCTGGGGTTTGATTCCAGTGTTGACCAAGAAAGTTTCTGAGGATTGCAATTGTTGGTTAGGAAATGTGGTTTTAAACTTCTGCTTTTTTCACCAATCGAGCTATGAGGGAAATTTTACCCAGACAATGGCATTTCTGTCTGCTTTTCACCAAATTCAAACGTCTTAGGGTGTTTTTACATGCAGGTCAACATCTACACGGAACATGGGGTTGTTTCATCCCATCTGAACAACTAGGTGCTGTCCTTTGCCAAGCCCTCTATTCTGAACCACTGACAAGGGGAAACCATGCTGAAATATATTGATGATTGCCTGGTCAGTCAGCCAGCCAATACATTACTCAATCAGCCAGAGACGATCCTCATTAAAGTTCCATATGATAGTCCAAAACTTGACAGGATTTTAATGAAGTTCCTTCGCCTTGCAAAAGATTTTCACAGATTACAAGGTTTTCACTGAATAATGTTATGGGATATTCTTCAGGGTTTTTTTTTTCAAATCTTGTTCTAACCATAATTTTTTTTTCAGATGTGAAGACACAGTGTTTGAAGAGCTAGTTAATCAAGTAAGTGAAAATATTAATCATTAATAGAATTTGGCCCGGGCAGTGGCACTTCTGCCTAGTCTTCTTCAAGCTCCTTGTGCACAGTATACTGTATCAGCCGAAAGACAGGTGTCAAATCTGAACAGTGTAAACCAGACTCCTTCTCAGCTGACTCCAAGATTCGAGCCCATGACATTCTATGATTTAACCATAAAAAATGGGTATTTAGGTCTAATGTGGGCACTTATATATATCATCTATACCAGTCATGTGAACTACCATTTGTACATATGTTAGTCCCAAAATATTGAGTGCATTTAAAACCTTGGCTAATAATTCCATTGAATACAATCTGAAATAATTTTTTTTACACCATTTTTGTGGGAAACGTGTAAGTGAGCATGTATTGTGGAACTAGCTGCCATAAAGAAAAATATTATGTTCCCAGCAACTAGGGTGATTTATCAACATTTGTACAAAGTGTTGCAAGCAGTGTTATGTTCATCACTAAGTGATTAGGTTTCGTTTGAAGACAATAAATCATGTTTAGCAATAATAAACATGGTGATGCAAATTCTGGTGTTGAAAGTTTTATCTTCTGAAAATATGCATCCACTGCACCTTAAAAAAGAGAATAGCAAAAAAACAAACAACATTTGACATAGTTAACTCTCTGTTGAGGAGGCCACTTCTATTTGATTAAAGGGGTATTATGGGATATTAGATAAAGAGTTGACAGTTCTCACTATAATAGTTAAAAAAATAGATAACGTAGATAGAATATGCTAAAAATTTCAAATTGCTCCACTATGAACCAAGATATTAGCGATTGAATTTTAGGCCTAGCCTCGATCATCATTACTAAAGTTGGTACAATAAAAATACCATCAATGAGTGTTGAGTAGCAGATCAGATTCAAATCCAGTGAAAATCGAACACATAAGATGGCAGGGAGAGTTGATTAAGGTCTTTTCATGTTAATAATTGAAAGAAGACCTGCGTTAGGCAGATTTAGATCTTGCATAATGTATGTTTAAATTTCCATTTCATTGGTATCAAGTCATCTGACACAAACCATGTTAGGCACAATTTCAGGTTTTGCAGGTACAATTCCTCTGTTACCTGTTATTTTGGTCGATCCCTGCATTGGCCGAGAAAGTTCATCCAGATTTTCCGGCGTGGTTCCCCCTTGTCAGTGATGCAGGATGGAGGGCCTGACAAGGACAGCTGTCTAGTCGTTTGGATGGGACAAAAAACCGAGGTCCCGTGTATATATTGGAATGCACGTAAAAGATCCCCTGGCAGTTGGAATTCGATATAAGAGTAGGCGATAGTGCCGCTGCCTGGGTAAAATTTCCCTCATAGCACACTGTATGGCGTATGCCTGTCTTCATTAGCCCAGTATAGGAGCAGAACAGTAGGATGTTAAACCCCATTTCATTTCATTACCTGTTATTTTGGGGGGTTGGGGCCAAATGGTTTAACACTGTCTGTCATTGAGTGAAGTGGCGTGGTTTTGATTCCCTGCTTGTACTTTACAAGGAGTAGAGTCGCCTGTCTAACCTTGAGGCCAGTCTACCATTAGCTTCAGTCAGAACAGAAGGATGTTAAACCCCATTTTATTTCATTTTCAACCTCTGGTTTCCTCCCATTGATAAAGACTCCTACATGCAAGCAAATTATTGAAATGAAATATTAGTCCTGAAATAAACTAGTTTGTGTCGAGTGGATGTTAAACCCCATTTCTCTCCATCTCTCGTCTGTCAATTTGTCTGATACAGATTTGTATTTTATCAGTGTTCAGTTGTAAGATACATCTATTATCATTACTCCCTAGTCTCATAAGTTGTTGTTTACTCACTTCCCCCCCCCCCCCTTAACCGGTAGATATATATACATCTATTAAGGGTTTTAATCAAAAGTACGAATTCTAAATCTGGCGCTGCTATCCATGTACAGACCAAACTGTCTGGTGCAAATAAATCTTAATACATTTAGGGACTTTTTGTTTAGAGAGGTGATTTTCCTTGTTAAAATAAATCAACCTAGAAACTGACTTAACTGCACTCAACTGTTTTATGTCTGCTTTGAAAACCCTGTAATTAGAATGGGACAAGTTATGTCATATGCAAACAAAATATTTGTTGATTTTTCCTTTAAGATGGGTTGTGAGGTTGGTTGATACTGAAAGAAAGCAACAGGTCAAGTTATGTGAACTTAGAAACATTATTTAAACTACTTGACAGAGTTCAGACAGCAGTTTATAGATTTGTGAAATTTAAGGCGTGATTTATCCTTTTCCTTGCTTTTTTGCCATTCTTACTTTGATGGAAAAGGTGTCGGACTTGGTCTTGTTTAAAGACCGTGTGTTGGGTGATGTCTACTTTTAGTTATGCAAGTGGTGGTGGTTCTAATCCCAGACTTGTTCATGACAAGGAGTAGGATTGCCTACTAAACCTTATGGGTTTAAACAGAGTTATCCAGTTTCCTTCCTCTGGTCATAACATATGTTAGTCCCGTAATGACCTAGGCCCAATTGAGTTTCTCTCTCTGTCCCTCACATCCTCTGTCTTTGTTCGTCTAACCCTCCCTTCTTTCCCTTCCTCCCTCCATCACTCGGTTTATCTTGTCCACTCGCAGCCTCACCCCACTGTTTCCCTCTTCCACCCCCAGTCTCAGTCGCTTATCTATCTCCCTCTTACTGTTTTTCCCTCCCTCTCTCCTCCTTCTCACCCCCCACAGCTGTTTCCCTCTCCCACTCCCCCTCTTTTCCCCACTTGTCTCTCTCCTCCCCCCCCCCCAACTCTATCTCTCTGTTTGGTTGGTTTATATGAATTATTTCTACTGATCTCATGTTTTACCTATTATAAACATTAAAGAAGAAATATTTTGATCAACAGATAAGATATTTTATGTAAACAGACATTAATATGAAAAACTTCCTTTTCTTTTATTGGATATTAACCCATTTCTACTTACTTTTCCATTTCCTTCATATACCTCATTTAGAACTTGACATTCTGACCTTAACATGTCTAAAACTTCTTATCCTTGCTGTAATTTAAAGCGAACAGTAGAATGACTTGACATGAAGGTGTCAAGATTCCATTGCATTATGTCGCGGGTTTCGATTCCCCTAGGAGCGCTATATTCAAATTTATGCAACACTTTACCATATTAGTAGTACGAGCTGTTTATTATTAGCCATAAGTTTGTGCGATGGTGTTAACATATTCTTCTGTTATTCCTGGCCTACTGTTAGAATTGGCGAACACAATTCCCACACGGGAAAACAAACCACATTAACAATAATTAAAATAAGAATTATGCTATTTTTGTGATTGCTGATCGTCTTATTTGGAGAATTTGTGCAATTAGATATTAAATACTCCACTCCTTAATCATTTATTTATTTATTTAGGGGGGGTGGATGGCCTAATGGTTAGCATGTGCGCGCTGTATCTTATGGCCTGTCATTGAGTCAACTGGCATGGTTTCGAATCCCCAGTTGTACGTGACAAGGGGAAGGGTCGCCTGTCCAACCTCGTGGGTTTTCTCGAGGTCCTCCGGTTTCCTCCCACTGCTAAAGACCCATACGCACAGCGAATTATTGAAATAAAATTAAACCACATGTTAGTCCCGAAATGGCCTAGTTTGTGTTGAGTGGACGTTAAACCCCATTTCAATCTCTATTTATTTATTTATTTTCCGATTTAGCCAGACTGTCTACCATTGGACATTAAATGAAATGTGAGTTACCCTCCAGTGGTTTCTTGTCAATGAAAGTAGAAAACCAACAACATCCGTGTACCAGTGTTTGTATTGTAATTAAGGATGATTATTGTCTGTGAGAGTTTATCACAACTTATTATTTAGACATATTTTTGTATTGAAAGTGACGTGTTAAACCTTTTAGGTTGAGATCTGATCTGGATAATGGTTTAGACAGATGATTGTTATTAACTCGAACCTCCTACACAAAAAACAATGAGCACAGGAAGACATTAATACAATAATTGGGTAGAATTTCTATGTACAGTAGAATCTGTCACTTCCGACATCTAAATACTACAGCATTCTGTGAAATCTATCATCATTATCATGTCCTGATTTTGTTTCCTTATTACCTCAACCAAAAAAGTTTTTATAGTCCAGAATATTCTGAATTACGACATCAATCAGCGGTCCCGTCACACAATTTGCGTTGAATTAATATTGGATAATCCGGCCTTGGATCAGTGGGTGTTAACCGACAAGCAATCACCAATCAATTATCGGTGAGATTAAAACATGTGTCGGCCTTTGTTGATTATCTTGCTTATTTTATGATCTCTTGTAAGAGAGTGCTTGGTATTTCATATGAGTTTCTCATGTCAAATACAACGACGTTATATATAAATTGCAAAAGTAAAACAATAACTCGTTTAAAAAACGCTAAAAGAAACATAAGAAACCATATTATAATAGGCAGGTACTATTGTACTGTGACCCCTAGTAATCAGTTTTTTCATTGGCTGAAACATGCGTCTTATTTGTCACTCCAATCATATCTCGTGTACTATATTACAAAATGGCTAGCGATGTCGGTACAACTTCTTACTTCAATACTTGTGTAATACTATTTGGTAATTTATGCAAAATAACATTAGGCAGATATAAGTGCACCAGAAGATATGATTTATAATTTGATAATACTTATGTTTTATTTGTCTTCTCCATTGTTTTCAAATTCATAGACAAGGAATGGAGAAATATGATGGCTGAAACAATATTGTTATCTTTCATATTATTGATTCTAAGTTCATAACCCAAATTATAGCTCAACTGGCGTGGTTTCGAATCCCTGGTTGTACGTGGCAAGGAGTAGGGTCGCCTGTCCAACCACGTGGGTTTTCTCCAGGTTCTCCGGTTTCCTCCCACTGCTAAAGACCCCTACGCGCAAGTGAATTATTGAAATAAAATTAAACCATATGTTAGTCCCGAAATGACCTGGTTTGTGTCAAGTGGACGGTAAACCCCAT